AGTTTAATGTTTGCAGGCTTAATTGAATTTTTCTAGCATTTATTTACTCTTAATTATGGCTTTAAATTAATGTTTTAGGATATATATATGCATACCCTAAATGTTTATTTTTGAAACCTCTTGCAACTTTTTAACTTTTAAATATGTGCAGTCTTAAGCAGTTTTAAGAATCAAGTTAACGAACTCTTACTTGGAAATTTGAACTAAGATTCCCTTATTAAAAAATTAAACAATTATACTTTGTTAAGTATTTAAAATATATCTTATAATTATAACTTATGCATTTAATATGAAATCACAATAGTGATCATAAATTAAAGTTTAAAACGGTCTAAAAATATTGTACTTTAAATGCAAAATTCAACTATTTACTAAATTTCGCTAGTTTCTCTGTTCGAGACGAAAATTAATTTCAGCTAAGCGAAAAAAGTGCTAAAGCAGAAAATCTTTATTGCCAAAATTCAAGTAAATTGAGTTTGGAGCTGCTTGCTTTCCCAGTCGGTTCTCTTCGTTCTTGGCTTGTTTGATGATGACATAGTATTTGCCCAAGTTAATGGGAAAATGGGAAATGAGTATGCTATATGAAAGACAGTGAGTGGCAAAAATATAATATCGTTTAGGGAAACTTACAAAATAAATTAAAGGCAGTATTATATAATTTACAATTAATTTGTTAATTGGTAAAAACCTAAGTCGAACATAAGAACGGTTTTAAGTTTTTTTAAAAATAGCAGAAAAACCAAACAAAAAGCAATTGGAAATACCTGTCAAACTTGTGAGACATAACATTTATGGCTGGCACCTTGCAGGCTGTAACCCTAAGCCCTAACCCCCCAACGCCCCCTTCGGAAATTGAACGTGTTCTAATGGAGTTTTTAAATAAGTAATCACTTGCTGCGTTGTTGGCAGGCAAGAAGTTTCGTCAAAGGCAAAAGACGACTGGTTAACGGTTAAAGGCGAATGCAAACACAAGCCCAGACGTTGCCACGCCTCCTCCCCTTTGACCGCCCCTTAACCCTTTGACTCCCCAGCTCCACGCAAGTTTACTGGTTAACATGGGAACAAAAAAGCACAGGGAACTCGTACCCTAATTGATTGTTAACTCGTGTGTGGTTCGTAATTTTTGTAGTTTGTTTTTGTTTTTTTTCTTTTTTCGATATTTTAACTGGCAAATTGAGTTGCAGGAAATGCGGGGGAGTCCCGCAACTACGCGCAACTACGCCCCCCCAACCCCCGCAATTATGGCTTAAAAAGTGTGGCTGGCATTTCGGGTCCAACAACTGCAACTGCAAAAAATAAAGGCCATAAGTAAACCAATTAGTCGCCCGGCAGTAGTAAGCTCGGTCTGCAGTGCAACTGTCGCCATCGCTGTCACTGCCAGGCGTTCTCTAACCCCCGTGACCCCTCTCCAGCTCCCAAACAAACCAGTCTCCCCCTCCCCCCACACCATGGTGGCCAAACAGAGATGGCCAGTTAGATGGTTTTAAAGGGGAATATATTTTTAAATGTCAACAAAAGAGGAGCAGTTCCCATTTGCTAACAAACAAATTTTTTTTATTTTATAAATCACAGTTTTCTAAATCTAAAACATATATGATTTATTTATTATTAAATGCAAGATTTTAAAGAACTTCATAAAAAACTTTCGTTGATCTTATATATTTGTTTAAATTGGTTAGGAGATATAAAAACATTAGACTCTTATATTTTTTCGGATATTTTTCCAATTTTTAACCAAAAATAATAACCCTATTATTATTATAAGTGCAAAATTTCTGAAGTCATTTTTATAAACTTGCCAACACTTAAAAAAAGATTTTACTATTTAATGTACTTTACTTTTCATGAAATCATAATGAAATTCATTTGAATAGGTTGATTTTTAAGGTTGTATAGGTAAATCAATATTGAAATCTATAACTTAGTTAACTCACAAATTTAACCAATTTTTTCATTTTGTTTCTATTCTTTGTTGAAAATATATTTTATTAATGTACATTATAAAACTCAATATTAAACTAACCAAATACATAAGTTAGTTATAATTTAAAAAAAAAATGTATTGAGCTAGCTTACTTTGCAAATCGATGGTCGGCAGCACTGAAACTCGATTTCGAACTCAAACTGCGGCTTTCGTATTGTGTAGTGTTATAAGCGCATTTGACTTTTTGCACAACGCAAAGTTGGTTGACAACTAGTGGTAAAGGGGTTTAGTGTGCCCCCTTAAAGGGGGGGACGGGGAAGGCAGTGGTTGCCTCATTGTTAGACTGTAGAGCATCTTGACAAATGCATACTTTTTAATGATAAAGGAAAATTATAATATTTTTCCTAAATTCGTTAAATTACTTTTTCGGTGTTTTTATCAATTAAATAAGACTTATAATAGACGAAAACAAGTATTAAAAGGTAGAATTGAATTCGTCGTAAATTTTTCAACCTATTGGCATTTTCAGCTATTTAATTTTTAATTTTCGTAAAAAATCATGATGTAATCATATAAAAAATGCCAAATTTGGTCAGAAAATGTTTTTTTCCAAATCATCCGACTTAAAGATTAGGTTATTAGCTTTATAAAACAGTCAGTTTGTTGTCTATGAGTATTTTTTTTACCATTGAACATCTAAAACGCAATCAAATTAAAATTTGTAGTGGCTGTCCTTAAACTTGCTGCCTAAAAAACTACAATATAAAAGTATATTTTTAAAATTTTGCTTACTATTAAATTTCTACTTACCTTAGTTTAAATATTGAGTAAATAAGTAGGCAATATATTATCTTAATTTCTTTAAACTCTAAGTAAGTTTGAGCACTGTTGCATATGGCTGGAGGTTTTTCTTTCAAAGACACATTGCCTGTCGGCATTTAGTTGCAAGAATTGCCTATTACAACTGCAATGGCACCACCCACTCCACCCCCATTTCGCACCCTCTTCCGCCCCCTTTCCGCCCACTTTTCCTCCCACGCTTTTCCAGAGCGCTCAATGAAGCTTGAAACGCGCTTCTAAGTAATGGCAATCCGCTTTGGCTTTCAATTTGCTCTTCTCCACGCTCTCTCCCTCTCCTTCCCTCTTTCTCCGACCCCTCCACCCATTCGCCATCTCCCTTTCTCCTATTTTGCATATCTTGTACATATGCCCTTTGGCTTTTTTCATACCAACAGCCAGATAAAGCAGAAGAACTAGCTGCAGCAGGCGGGAGAATGGGGATTGCTTAGAGATGGGCGATTGGTAAAACATATTTTAAGCCATGTATCCTGCACTCATTAAAATTTGTGAGTTTTTCGCACACAATATTTGTTTTTTGATTTAATTTAAAAATATATTCAATTATATTTATACAAACTATAATTTAAGTCGGCGCAATGATAGATATTTTTGATAAATATATTAATTATAAATCCTTAAATCGTTCTTTTAATCAACAGAATAATATAAATTATTGATAGATATTAGTTATAAATTCTAAACTCAAATATTCAAATTCATATTTATACAAAATATTGGTTTCATTAACGATATTTAGTTTCACATCACGCGACCATTTCTAGTTTGAAATTTTAAGTTTGAGGTGGAGGCGCAACAAAAGCCTGTAAACGTTACTAATGTTGCACTGATGGGGGAGTGGAGTGGGAATGGCAAGAAGATGCACGCAAAAAAAAAAAACTAGTACCCCAAATACCCCAAATTAACATGAAGAAAAATGTTGTTGCTAATCATATCGATACCCAAAACAAGTTTTCAAAATAACAACAAACAGTTATTAAAAAAACAAAACAATGTTGAACTTAATTATGTTTATAATAAACTAAATTTAAAAAGCCATTCGGAATTTTAAAATTAGTAACTCAGTTTTTTAATAGATATGTACGATTTAATAATACATTTTTTTTTGGTATTTCAATAAATCAATTTATTTGATTATACTAAAGAAGTGAGATTGCAATTAAATAAAAATCGGTTGTCAAATTCAATGTTGTTAGAACCTATCATACAATTAATTGTTACCAAACATTAAATAAAAAAAATTAAAATTTGAAACATTGAACAACTGTAAACTATCAAACTATTTTTCTCGTGTTTGCAGTAGATTAAAGGTGGGGAAGTTGTACATATTATTGCATTTTGTTAGTAAAGTGATTTCAACATCGTTATTTTCTGCCGCTTTTTATTTCATCCTAAGCTGCCCTTCTTTCTCTTGGCCCGTTTGAAAAACTTTGCTTTCTGGTTTTTTGTGTTTTATGTCCTTGTTCCTTTGGCAACTAAAATTTCGACCTAGAACTTTTCCAACACGCGGTATATGGTCGTCTGGGGGGACGGCAAAAGAATTGCCATGTTGATAAGTTAAGAGCAAAAGGTAATGGAGATGGTTGGAAGTGGCGCGGGAGGGTTCGGGGGGCTATGGCTTAAGTGGCCTTTAAGTGTTTCGCGGTCCACTCTAATGGTCCCTCCGAGTTGAGTTGATCGACGTTATGGGGCAAAGGATAAGTGGTGGATGGCGACAAGAAGAAACTTACAAATGGCTCTCAATAATCAATTTTTCTGTTCTTTTTTTTAGGTTTCTGCAACAACAAATATCACAGTTAAAAGCTGTACAAATTAAATTAAATATTGACATTTTAAGATAAAATGTATAAAAAATGGAAAGCTGTGGTGATAACTTAAAATGACAGCAATATATCCAAAATTAAAGCAATTGGGAAGTGTAAATCAATAAACAACCAAAATGTTTTGAAAATTTAATTAAGTCTACAATAATATAGCTTCAATAATTAATATTGAAATTAATTTTTAACAGTAAATACATTCGAGTTTGTGATGATAGCCCCAAAATGTAAAAAAAATAATCGAAATAAACTCAAGTTCAAAACAATTTAAGAACAAAATCAAAAATGAATAAATAAAACTGTTTTTTCAAGCAATAACAAAATTACTTAGAATACTTGCACATACATAAATTAATCAAAAAACAAGTGTAGATATTAAAATTCCACAACAAAATTAAACAAACAACTAAAAAAACCCAAATGCCACATGTGTACAACAAAAGCCACAATTAAATAGTAAAAAGCTGTACAACCGGAGTGCCGCAAAAATTAAAGTGCCACAGAAAAATGTCTCTAACCATTTTAATGTAATCCCAATTAAGCCAAATCCGTATTTAAGGCTCATTTAAAAAGCTGCAAAAATTCTGTGCAAACAAAAATTATAAAAATGCAAAGAAACCTAAAGAAACCGAGAGACACCAGTGGGTATTCAATGAGATCGACAGCAACATGAGTAAAACGACATCAAAACTGCCAACTGTCAGAAAACTGGTAGCCTGCAAATGCACCCGCAGCGAAGACAAAAAATAAATAAATAAATATATAGATAAAAAGTTAAAAAGAAAACAAAAACAACAGCACTCCCTAGAGTTTAGTTTGCAGTTCGATTTGCAGTCGGAGCCGGCGGCTTAATTACGCAATTAAATTATATATTTGGAGTGCCATTTGGAGTTGGAAAGTTCAAAGACCCCATAGGAATCTAAAGCACAGCCCCGGGAGACAACTTAATAAATTCTGGTGAGTTTTTAATCGGGTTCATAGACCTTCGGGTGTGTAGACCTTCATTGCGAAATTTATCTATCAAATTAATAATTTGTATTTGAATTTAATTTAGAAGTTAAAATATCATAGGCTAGGCGAGAAATTTAATCGGCTTTCTGTAGGTAAGAAACTAAAGGGATTTTAAGACCCTTAAAATGTTTTTTCAAAGGATACTAAATACGTAGGAAAATAAATACAAAGGTTATGTATTTCAGGCAAAAATATTATTTAAATGGAAGTTTTCTAAACAATTTAATTTTTGTTACTCCTTTAAAGTTATTTTATTTGCTTTCTTTTTAAAGATATTTTTAGTATTTTGTCTTGGTAGATAAAAGCCAATTGCTAAGAGTCATTTATTTCAATTCCTCTTTAGTATTTTATATCCCTTACAGCTTCCTGAATACCCATTTTCCGGTCCTTTTTTAAATTCCAATCAATGGGGACCCTCGGAAAATGGGGGGAAATAAGCTTAGTGGTTATGTAGGCCACTTCTCATGGGTTAATTGCAAAAAGTTCAGAGTTGACATTCCAGGAAAAGGGTGGATTCGAAATTCCAAAAGCGAAGGAGTAAGTGTGATTCACTGAGCCATTTTTTTTGTATATTTTTTCTTTACGCAACTTTTCCTGAAACAAAAGTCGTTTGTTGCACTTCTTTTGTGGCGCCTCCAGCCCAGGGTTAGCTAACCGCCCCATAATCCTGCTGCTAAGTGGGGTATGCGTGGGGCATGTTGGTAATAAAAGTTTCATTGACTTTTGCACTAGAGTTGACTTCAATGGCTTTTTATTGCCGCTCTCTTTTGAGGGGACTTTACCGGCAACCAGTCCTTTTCTAAGCAACTTTGCCTCCATTCCCTCCGCCATTTACAGTGGAGACTCTGCAACGTAATATAAATATAAATTAAAAGTGTTACGGGATCTACAATTTATATTTATGAGGTCTAGCACACTATATGAGTGTTATGATCTTATGGTGCTGAGTTAAATATCATTTTAAATCTTCAAAGATTTCTTAAAATTTACCGCAAAACAATAATTTTTTATTATGACAGATGGTGTTTTTATTTTCTTAGGCCATACGACCAATATCCAAAATTTAGAAGCTTTTGTCATTATCTCATTTTTATGACGTTCTTGGCAATAAATAACATTACTGTTAAGCACATGACAACATTGTAAGCGTTTTAACGATCCACACATCTAATTCTCATTTTCCCCTCTCCAGTTGGAAACAAAAAATTAATCAACAATTTCCGCCATTAAAATGCATCGACAAATTAGCCGGGGTTTTTCATTTCCACTACATCAGCAATAAATGAGAGAATCAAGTGCGTGCGTCTGTGCCGCATTTTTATTGGCGTTGAGGAATTGAGCGATTGCGGATTTAATGAAATTATCAGCATTATGTAATGAGTGTCGGAGGACTTCTCGTTGTAATGACTTCATTTCGAATGCAAAGTGCGGACGATAATGACGATAATAATGCCCGATGACAGAAAGTGGCTGTGTGTTAATTAAATGCAATTTGCCAGTCCAACTGACTCAATGTTGGCCATAGAATTTAAACTAGAAGGATTTAACCTTGGGATACCAGTTTAATGTTAATAAATTATTTACGTTTTTTTTTTTTAAATTTTAATTTGTTAAGCAAAAAATATATTTTAAGGGATGGTTTCTTATGTCGTTTTATAAACACCGAAAAAGAAAACGAGTTTTTAAATCTAACTAGCTTAAATATCTGTAGGGCATCTTAAAAAAAACAGTCCCTTGAGAACCCTTGCAGGCGAGAAACCAAAGAAAAAACGACAACTTTCAACTAACGGACAGAGAAAATTAAACTTTGTAATGATGTCGACTGGTATAAATTTCCATTAAGCCACTCCCCAATACCAAATACCCAATATATTCAATATCCAGGCGAAGGTGCGATTTCCTGCACCACTCTCCCGGCGACCTGGCAACCCTAATGCAATGAAAATAAACAGCAGAGTTGCCTCATCAGCCCGTTACGGGCATGAACGAATCGCCACGAATCATGAATTTCTAATTGAAGCAGCGAAAAAAAAACGGAGACAACGGAAAGAAAAATGCGAAACGCCTAACGCATGAGGATATGCACACTGTGAGAATTTTTTAAAAATCGCGAATAGATTATAGCCCATTTACATTTATGACCCAATAAAATATTTTTGGAAGTCATTTATCTATTTAAATGCCAAGAATCGTGCAAGTCTTAACAGTTATACCATCTCCATTCATTTATTATATTTATTTCTTAACCAAAAACTATATTTTTTAAAATGGTAGTAGATTTAATTTTTTTTTTTGGTCCCGTAACCATTTGAACAGCATATAAAAAATTTCTTAACACTTTTAAAATTTTATTTGAAAGCTGTGCAAATTAAAAAAAAAAAAAGACACAAGAACATTGAACTGAATAATTTTGTTGAGTGCAAGGACTTGAATGAGGAGGATGAGGTTGGGTGCAGGAATGCGTGCAACGGGCGCAACGAATGACATTTTGTTGCCGGGGCAACATCGAAAACGAGACGTCACTTCGGCTCACGGGCCAAAGTCTCAGACACGGATGCGACTTTGGACAGGAACAGAGACAAGGACAGGGACAGGAACAAAGACAGCGAAAGAGATGGGGATACGCGGCAGAAAGAGATGCAATCATGTCGGTCGAGAGAGACAGAAACGCTTGGCACTTGACGTATGCCAAAAGCATTTAAGCTCCACGCATGCGCAGCCTTCGAAGGCATTTTTTTTTCCGTTACTCTTCGCAGGCCTTGATTTTTTAGGGTATTTTTTTAGATGTACCGTTTAGCTTAAGCCCCCGGTATACCCTGCCTAAAAGGTATTACTACACAATCAAGGGTTTTCTTCGTTAAAAACATTAAAAATGCTTGAGGTGTTTTTGGAGATACCAATGAAAAATAAAATAATTTATATTAAATATTTTCTTAATTTGAATATTTTAAAATTTTTTGGTTTTTATATATACATTTAATCTCAAGGAAAAAAGTTTAAGCCCACTAAAAATGTTTAAGTTTTGGTTTCATGTTTCTTAATTACCTCACAACCGTAGAGCATTTAGGATTCCAAGTAAATTTTCGTTGTGTTTCATTTTATTCCGGCTCTTCTTGTGGGCTACCAACCGTTTTATTTATGCGCATTTTATACACATCATTTTGTGCGAATGAAGAACGAGCTTAAAAAAAAGGAGAAGGAGTTTGAAAAGAAGTTTGCTGTTGCAGTTGTTGCTGTAAATGGCATTGCAATTTGGCCCACGTACAAACAAACAATTACATAACATACATATGTACAATTGAACAGTGGTTGCCCAAAACTAAACTGTTCCAATAACTTTAAATAATCTGGTGATTATGTACATACATATGTCATTAATTTTAAGTAGCATTTCGAAAGAATTGATAAAAAATCATTAAAATTATTTGAATAATATAACATAACGATTGCTTTAGTTAAAGATTTTATAACTTAGAAAATTAAAGAAATTTAATAAATATTGGATAGTAAGATTACATGTCGAATGCTTTTAAAAACCATTTATATATATCTAAAATTAAAAAAAAAAAATCCTTACTGTTTTGTGAGGCCCCACTGTACTTTAATCTGGAAATGCAACCCCATCGTGCCCCGCTGGACATTCGGACTGTCTAAGTCGCGTCTGCATTTGAACTTGTGAACTTCTCTGTCTGTCATTCACAGTGTTTTATTGTTGCCGAGATGGGAGGGAACAAGGGGATTCACTGGGTGCAGAGGGGGATGGGGGTCTAGGCCTAGTATTGTCTGGCAGCAGAATCAGTCAACAGGGATTCTCCATCCTGGCTTGAATGACTGGCTGAAAGTCGGTGCAAGCTTACACTTTGCGAAAAAGTAACAGAAAGGAAAATATGTTTAAAGCTCCTATCACAATATGCATTTATATAATTTTTAGCAAGTATTTATTTATTTTGCATATATATATATATTATTTTTGTTGTGTTCTTTGTATTCTTTTGGTTTTTAAGTTTGTGTTTGCGTTTGCGATTTATCTAAGTGTTTTCTTCATAAACCGTCAAAGCGTTGTTTAAATTAGATTTTTCTCTCTGAAATGCATTCTAATGCTAAAATAGGAAGTAGTTTAATGATATTTATTTTATGCGAGTACTTATTAAATACTTATTAAATTTTTTAGAGTTTTAAGAAATTGTAATATAAATATATGAGAATGGCAGGTTTATCCCAGCCCTTCCTTTTTTTTTTTTTTTTGTAAGATGCCTTGTTTGTATTCAGCTTAATTGTAAAGAGTTGAGACGCTACTCCTTTTTTGCATACGTTCCATTTCGTCTCGATTCGTTGGGTCCTCGTCAACTGACATCTGGCATATGCAACGTGAACGTCGTTTCGGCCCCCATCTATATATAGCTCCAGCTCCATCGCCATTTCCATTTCCAACTCCAGTCCTGTCCTGTCCTGTCCTGTTTGGACTGTCCTGCATCCTCGATGCCCAGTCCTTTTATGTCTATCTGGCCGCCTTCTGTTTGCTTGTTTGTGGCTGCTGTTTGCATGACTTCCATTTGGCAAACATTTTAATTTTAATGAATTTATGTAATCGCTTCGTTTTGCTCTTGTTTTTGTTTCTTTGCTCTCTTCTCCATTCATTTGTTAAAATTTTTTTTTTGCCTGCCAGCCGCTCTTTTGTTTGTTTGGCATCAAACACCCCTTTCCCACACTCCCACTCACACTCACATCGGCGTGTTTGTCAACACTTTTCATACACTCTGGCAATTTGGTTTGTTGACTTTGCTGGTGGCGCTCGGAAATGAGAGTTGAAAAACTGCCAGACAGGAGCTTTGGCTGTCATCGTTTGTCCATTGTAGTGTTGGTCAAAAAAGTGAAACAAATGTCCTTAAATGTTGTGTTGTAGTTTAAAATGTAAACGAAAATCACTGTATATTATGTTCTTTGTA